CCTGCCTGAAGTCGTGTTTGTCAGGTTTCTCTACTTTTTCTTTTTTTGGCCACACCGCGCAGCTTGTAGGACCTTAGTTTCCTGACCAGGGATTGGACTCAGTCCCTCAGCTTTCACTGCTTGTGGAGTCCTAAGCACTGGACCACCAGGCAATTCCCAGGTTTCTCTGTCCTGAATCTACTCTTTTCTCTCGATTTCCACACTGTCCTCTTTGGAAGGAAGTCACTATGTGCTACCCACACTTAAGGGGTGGGGAATTACACTCCACCTTTGACATACTCTCATTGTGCTTTTTGTTTTTGCTACTGTGAATTACACTCCACCTTTGACATACTCTCATCGTGCTTTTTGTTTTTGCTTTTTTTTTTTAGCATTTCTGTACTTTCTGGCACTACAAGATGCTCCAGGTTCATCCCGTATATTTCTTGCCCCAGTCCTAGATTCAGACATTTCCTTCTCATTTTTCTTGTGATGAGAACTTTTAAGATCTACAGCCTTAGCAACTTTCAAATATGCAACACAGTATTATGAACTATAGTCACTGTGCCATACATTACATCCCCATGACTTCTTTTTTTGTTGTTGTTTTTGGCCACACCACGCAGCTTGTGGGATTTTAGTTCCTTGAGCAGGGATTGAACCCAGGCCCACGGCAGTGGAAGTGTGAAATTCTGACCACTGGACTGCCAGGGAATTCCCCCCATGACTTATCACTGGAAGTTTGTTCCTTTTGACCACTTTCACATATTCCACTCAGCCCTCACCGCCACCTCTGGCAACCACCAATCTGTTCTCTGTATCTATAAGGTTTTTTTAAATTAATTTATTAATTTATTATTTTTGGCTGCGTTGGGTCTTCGTTGCTACACGCGGGCTTTCTCTAGTTGTGGCGAGCGGGGGCTACTCTTCATTTGTGATGCAAGGGCTTCTCATTGCGGTGGCTCGTCTTGTTGCAGAGCACGGGCTCTAGGCGCGCGGGCTTCAGTAGTTCTGGCACGTGGGCTCAGTAGTTGTAGCTTGCAGGCTCTAGAGCGCAGGCTCAGTAGTTGTGGCACACGGGCTTAGTTGCTCCTTGGCATGTGGGAGCTACCCGGACCAGGGCTCGAACCCGTGTCCCCTGCATTGACAGGCGGATTCTTAACCACTGTGCCACCAGGGAAGTCCTATGAGTTGTTTTTAAATTATTAAAAAAATTTTTTTAGATTCCACTTGTGAGATCATAGAGTGTTTGTCTTTCACTGTCTGAGTTATTTCATTTAGCATAGTGCCCTCAGGGTCCATCCATCTTGTTGCAAATGGCAAGATTTCTAGCACATTTTGACCCCACCTTCTCAGAGACCAGAGGACGAAACTCTGGAGCTATCTATTCTAAGGGACCTCTGTTCCCTGATGTGGCCTCGTCTTTGCAGTGCAGTTGGAGGGTGTAGAGGGGAGTCTAAAGGAAACGGGGGCAGCTGCTGTGGAGAGTGGCAGTGAGTCATCCAGAGGTGAACTCTAGATTACCATGTGACCTCAGTCAAGGGCACCCAGCTTGTGCTGTGCAGGGTGCAGGCAGCATGGTCTAGTGCCTTTCCCCAGCAAAACCCCACCTCTGTGAACAGAGGAAGTGCCACATGCTGAGGACCAGAAGAGAAGAGCAGTAAATGTGGTTACACACCACTGGGAGATGGCAAAGACGTCATGAGAAAGGTCTCCCAAGCATTAGGCTGGGGAAGGAGGCAAGTGAAGTTGAACAAGATTGAGTCAGAAGGGGCTGGTGAGGGTGTGTGTGCAGAGAGCAGACTTGACAGGCAGGAGGAGGGAGCAGCCAGGCCTGGCTGTAGCTGGGGGGAACTTTTGTTTTAGAGTTTGGATGTGGAGGAATGTGATGTAGGCATGTTTGCATACATGTTGGATGCATGCATGAATTAGATATGTTTATTATTAAATGTATGCTAGTTCATCTCACTTTTCCAATACAGGGCAGTCATGTGCTAAAATTCTGGGGATGCCCCTCACATCATAATCTGGGTGAATGATGCCCCTTTTAGTTGTTCAGAGCACAAACTATATATGGGGCTCTGCTAAGTGTGGTGACGGTATAAGCAGAAAGGGTAGGGGGATCCAGATATAGTTTTTCTTTTTCCTTAAGATTTTATTTTTATTCATTTATTTATTTTGGCTGCGCAGGATCTTACTTTGGCACGCGGGACCTTTTAGTTGCAGCGTGCAGACTTCTTAGTTACGGCATGCGGACTCCCAGTTGAGGCATGCATGCAGGATCTAGTTCCCTGACCAGGGATCGAACCCAGGCCCCCTGCATTGGGAGCGCGGAGTCTTACCCACCGGACCACCAGGGAAGTCCCCAGATATAGTTTTTTGACGTAAGAGAAGTCATTTAAGCCTAAACCATTTTGTGATCTAAGCCTGGCCACAATGCTTGCCCTTGAACAGGTCTCAGTAATAATGATCGTAAGGGAACAGAAGAACGGAATGACTTAGGCAAGAGAAGTAAGAATGGCAGAGATAATAAATCAGTTGTGAAGACTCCCAGTTCTGGTTCAGTGGTAAAGATTGGCCTGAAGCACTCAACCACCAGCTCGACTGGAACCTAAGAGATGCTGATGTTGACCTTTTCTGGCCCTTGTGACTTCAGTCAACTGAAGCTTGGCCTCTGTTGACTTTTGCCCCAATTCTATGCTGAATTCTCCTCTGCTCAAGCCCTGTCATGAATATGCATGTACCCTTAGTTTAGAAGGTCCCCAGTTTGGCTGTTGGGGAGACACTGCTTTGGGAAAGATCTCCAGTGTTCTCCTTACTTGCTGCAAGTAATAGATCCTTCCTTCTCCTGCTCTTTGGTTTGGTTGTGTCTTCTGGCTCGACACCCAACAAGAGGGGAACCCAATTTTTAGGTAACAGTAATGAGTTTACCATCTGTGGGGAGCACAGCACTTCATCCTCATAACCTCGGTCGTCCACACAGCAGCCCTCTGAGACAGGCACTGTCACCCCCATTTTTTTTTGGCCGAGCCACACGGCTTGTGGGATATCTCAGCCCCCCAACCAGGGCTTGAACTTGGGCCATGGTAGTGAAAGCCCAGAATCCTAACCTCTAGGCCACCAGGGAACTCCCTGTCACCCCCAACTGACAGATGAGAAAAAGGAAACTCTGTTAGAGAAATAAAATAATTTTCCCAAGGCCATCCAGCCAGAAGTTGGCAGCATCTTCCACTAGGTCAAGGGACAAGGATGGGGTGGGGTCAGCATCTTGCTGGGCTCCCCAGAACCAACTGGGCACTGCCGGGTTCTCTCAAAACTCAGAGGACCTGCTAGTTTTCTGGCCTCTCCCAAAGGATCCCTGACCCACACAGGGACCTTTGCTCCTTCTTTGCTCTGAGGAGAAAAGGTGGTGGTAGAAAATTAGGGTGGAGGAATCAGTCTTAAGACCCTCATTAACAGAGTGTGACCTTCTCTCTCAGACAAGACTGCAGAGGGGAGAGGATGGAAGAAGAGAGTGGCAGGGCTGGAAATGATTCCTCGGGAGGTGGTGGGGGAGGCAATGGAGTGACAGTGACGGGCCGTTGTCACAGAGGAGGCAGGGGGCAGGGCTGGTGCACGGAATCAGTCACCAGACCCAGGAAGGCTGGAAGCCCCCCACGCCCCCAAGCATAAGAGGAATGGACGTGTTTAGTGCAAATGGAAGGAAGTCTTTGAGTCCTTACTGCAGGAGGAAACGAAGCTAGCTACCCTGGGAAGCTGAAAGTACACAGACCCAGGACGGATCCCAATTCTTTTGGGGTTTAGATTTATTCGACCCTAATCTAAGGGAATTTGGAGGCGGTCTGTATGCAAGAGGCTGAAAAGCTCGCAGGCACAGTTCCCCAGAGGGGGAAGCCACGGAGCGATCTGGAAGGACAGGAGAAGTGCAGTTGGGGGACACTGCTGGTGGTCTCAGTTTTCCCACTGCAGCAGGAGGCTGGGGGCTGGGGGCTGGAAACAGGGGGCATCTGAGGCAGAGACTCCAAGGTCAAGGACTGGTGAACCAAGGATCCCTCCACCCTTCCAGTGAGGACCGTAGCCTGGCAGTCAGCAGTTTTTTAACAGTAAGAATGATTTGAATCTGAACACCTTTAAGTCAGGAATGAACTCACCCACGGCCACTGTCCCCCACCCCTACCAGACACACATCTAAGAGGGTCAGTTCCTTTCTATGACTGGCTGACTCCTGCCGGTGCAGGATTTTTGACTTTTGCTAGACCAGCAGTGTCACCTTTGGAGACTCCAGTTTGAGGAAGGAGATGGGAGGGGCGGTTCTGGGTCCTGCGGCTCAGCCCTCCCCTCGGATGCTGCTCTGGGTACCGCGCTGTGTACAGTTCACAGACAGGGACTCTTATGCCTTTAGCATCCCAGCCGCTGCCCATAAATGACAACAGCGCCCTCTAGCTTCTGTGACAACCCCACATTTCCAAATGCTCCCTGGACAGGGGGTGGTATCACCCCAACTGAGAGCTCCTGGGTGTCCCCTCTTTGGTACTGAGGAAATGACTTACACCCCTGCCAGTCTTTTCCTGGCATAGAAACACAGAGACACAGAGGCCAGTGGCATGTGTTGTTCATTATAATAATGCCCTTGAGTGAGGGGGAGAAGGGAGGAGCCATGAAACAGGGCAGCGTTGAGTAGGGTAGGAAACGTGGACAGCCTCCCCAGCCGCGGACACCGCAGAAGTGTCACTTAATCTTTAGTGAAATGTACTCAGAGAGGGAGGGAGACTGTGGGGTAAATCCAGCCACCAGAAGCCTGGCTGGGGTAAAAGAAAAACACTTTGCGCTGGGAGGGTGGGCCTGGAGGTCCTGCTGCTGGAATAAGCACGGCATCTCGGCCCTTCCATCAGCAGAGACCGCAGAGTTGAGCGCCACAAGGAGCACCCCGCCCCCCAGGCCAGAACCCGGCGAGGGTGGGTGGGGCGGGGCGGGGCGGGGGGCGGTGCCGACGGCGGTAGGAAGCCAGGCTCCCGCAGTGACTAACCCCACATGGTTATCTGCAGCCACTGTGGGGCAAGAAGAACATCAGAGGATGGGTGAGGTGGTGGGGGGGCATGACATCTGGGGAAAGGGAAGGGCCAGTGGAGCCGCGGGTGTGGGGGTGGGTGCCTGAGGATCCTTTCCATGTACCTGGTTCAGGTTCAAGCAAATCTGGCCAGTATTGTTAGGGTCCATGGTTAGAAAGTACGCTGTTTCAAAGAGGAGGCAAGGGAGACGGGCTGGGAGCTGAGTCAGGGGTCTGCAAGACCCCTTCCCGACTAGGGAGGATGTCAGAAAGGGTGTAAGAAGCTGTTCCTTCCCTCTTCCCAGCCAAACCCCCAGCCCAGCAGGGAATTAACGGTAAGGACTCCTGCAGCCTTGCTCTGAACCAGGGCCTGTTCTGAGTGCTCTCCAAATACTATCTCATTTAATCTCCGCCTCCATTCTATGCAGGCTGTACTGTTATCTATATTTATAGGTAAGGCAACAGAGGTACAGAGAGATAAAGTGACTTGCTCAAGGCAACAGAGCCAGCAAGTGGTGGAGCTGGGATCTGAACCCAGATCATCTGTGCCCGGTGCAGGGGAATTGTTCTGGAGCAGTGCTCTTCGTGTGGGTATGTGGGAGAAGGTCAGCGGTCCCCTGGCCCAGGGTGGGGAGTGGGCAGGTGCCTGACTCACTGAACATGGCCTTCAGCCTCAGGAAACAGCTGATGAAGCTGTCAAAATCCATGATCATTTCGTCATTTGCATACCTGGCCACCAACACCTGTGTCACCTTGTTATTCAGTTTGATGCCTGGGAGAGAGAGGAGTGTGGAGGGGGAGAGTCCAGCCCTCTGGCCGCTGCTGCCTCCCCCGTCCCTGCCCCAAAGCCCTCTCCTGCCCCTGGCCACCTGCTTTCTCAATTGCCAAGCGCATCTCATAGGAGTTCAAGGTGCCTGAGTGGTCCTGGTCACACTCTCGGAAGATGTCCTGAAGGGACAAGACAGATGTGGTAGGGCCGTGTGCATGGCACGGTGGCTGAAGTGATGAAATGCTTCATGACTGCTACCCAAGACCCCGGGGGCCCCCTACGCCGGCCCACCCCCTGAGCTCCAGTATTCCTATCACCTGGTGACTGTGGGGTTAGTTCCTGGCACCCTGCCCAGGGCTCTCTGCCTGTATCCTTTACGCTGGCTGATACCTGGACTGTGCTGGTTATTGAATATTTTGACTAGTTAATACGCCAACACATCAACTCCATCCTGGTGTGTGTGTGTGTGTGTGTGTGTGTGTGTGTGTGTGTGTGTGTGTGTGTGTCTAGTCAGCGGCTGGCTCCTGTTCCAGCTCCATCCTTACTAGTCCTCTTCCCTCCGGAGCACCTCTCTTTCTTACCTCCATAAACTGCCCCCTTAATGCCCTTTACCGTCCATTTCTTGATTTTTCTCCACAGGATCTGGAACTCCTGAAGCCCCAGTTTGCCAGAGCCATCTTTCTGGGAGGTAGTCAAGGATATAAGAGGAGGGTGGGGAGGGCATCCTGGGGGCTGGGAAGCATAGGGACTCACCGAGGTAGGGCACAAGACCCAAGGGGCCTGTATGGTAACCATGGTAACAGCCGGAAGACCTGGCATCTTTTGTTACCCCAGTGCCTAATCCCCACCCGGAAGGAGGGCATGGCTGGTCAGAGATGGCCACCTTAGGGCCAGGCTCAGGGGTAGGGGGCTGGGGCCGGAGAGCACTGGACAGGACTGCCCCCTGAACAGGAAGATACATCCAAGAGGTTGACCATACAGCGGCACACGTCCAGGCTGAAACCCTTGGTTTTGAGGTTTTTGACTGTGAGGGAGGGAAGGGGCAGGAAGAAGGGGAGGGATGAGCAGGGTGTGGTCGGGGTTTGGGGGCGCATCTCATAGGAGTTCAAGGTGCCTGAGTGGTCCTGGTCACACTCTCGGAAGATGTCCTGAAGGGACAAGACAGATGTGGTAGGGCCGTGTGCATGGCACGGTGGCTGAAGTGATGAAATGCTTCATGACTGCTACCCAAGACCCCGGGGGCCCCCTACGCCGGCCCACCCCCTGAGCTCCAGTATTCCTATCACCTGGTGACTGTGGGGTTAGTTCCTGGCACCCTGCCCAGGGCTCTCTGCCTGTATCCTTTACGCTGGCTGATACCTGGACTGTGCTGGTTATTGAATATTTTGACTAGTTAATACGCCAACACATCAACTCCATCCTGGTGTGTGTGTGTGTGTGTGTGTGTGTGTGTGTGTGTGTGTGTGTGTGTGTGTCTAGTCAGCGGCTGGCTCCTGTTCCAGCTCCATCCTTACTAGTCCTCTTCCCTCCGGAGCACCTCTCTTTCTTACCTCCATAAACTGCCCCCTTAATGCCCTTTACCGTCCATTTCTTGATTTTTCTCCACAGGATCTGGAACTCCTGAAGCCCCAGTTTGCCAGAGCCATCTTTCTGGGAGGTAGTCAAGGATATAAGAGGAGGGTGGGGAGGGCATCCTGGGGGCTGGGAAGCATAGGGACTCACCGAGGTAGGGCACAAGACCCAAGGGGCCTGTATGGTAACCATGGTAACAGCCGGAAGACCTGGCATCTTTTGTTACCCCAGTGCCTAATCCCCACCCGGAAGGAGGGCATGGCTGGTCAGAGATGGCCACCTTAGGGCCAGGCTCAGGGGTAGGGGGCTGGGGCCGGAGAGCACTGGACAGGACTGCCCCCTGAACAGGAAGATACATCCAAGAGGTTGACCATACAGCGGCACACGTCCAGGCTGAAACCCTTGGTTTTGAGGTTTTTGACTGTGAGGGAGGGAAGGGGCAGGAAGAAGGGGAGGGATGAGCAGGGTGTGGTCGGGGTTTGGGGGGAGGGGTGGGGGGTGATTAAGGGTGGGGCGAAGGGTTGTGAGCGGGGGATGGAAGACTCACCTTTGGAGACCACCTTGTTGAGCAGTTTCTGTAGCTCATACATGCCCACCTCCTTGTCCTAGGAAGGGGGACCATAAACCCCCGCTCTGGCCCCTTCAGCCCCAAACCACCTCCTTTCAATCCCCCAGCCCTCTGCCTCTCACCTCTCCACCAGCCACTATGTGAAACAAACGTGTGAAGTCCTGGTCTATGTCATTCTCAGAGATGTTCTCCTGGAGGGAAAGGAGTGGGCGAGGGACACAGTCCAGAAAGTTCTTCCACACCCCTACACGCTGCCCCCAAATCCCACCCCCCACAGCCTCCCCTCACCTCTTGGAGAAGCTCAGCGACGTTGGCTTCATCCAGTTCCCTGGGCAGAGGTGGATGAAGGTTTGGAGTGAGCAGGGGTCAGGGAGACAGGGATTCCAGTGGGATGGTCAGGGAGGTCATGTTGTGTGTCTGCAGCAATACGGAACGGGCTCCGTGGGATCTGGCTTCTGATTCCGGCTCTGCTACTACCTGGACTTCCCTGCCTCATGCCTAAGTTTCCCTGACTGTAAAATAGGGATGGGGGCGGGGGGACCCAGCTGACTGCCCCCTGAGCTTGAATCTTACAGCTCTGGGGCAGGTGGCCTTGGAGCAGTGAGGTGGGGCGCCTCACCAGGACTCGCTGTGCTTCTCGGTGAAGACCCGGAGCAGGAAGTCAGCATCCTTGTGTGGCTCAAAGGTGGAGGGAATGATGATGTATTCCCCCGGGGGCAGCCGGAGGTGGCTGCTCACCTCCCGCGAGTTGGTGAAGATCTCTGAGAAGCCCAGGTCCAGATACTTCAAGAAGAAGTCCTTTTTCAAGTGGACGTCCTGGAGGTTCTGAAACTGTACGTGCCCTGGAGGTGGGTACAGAGCCCACAGGGTAGGGCAGGGAGGGAGGGACCCGCACGGTGATGCCTGGCTGGGCAGGGCTAGGGAGGGCCTGGACCCTGCGCATCTGGCAGGTAACCCCAGTGTGGTCGTTTCCTTCCCTGACCCTCACTCAGGGCCCAAGGGGGCTGGAACCCTGACCCAGTGGGCCCCAGAACCCATCGCCGAATTCCACCCCTTGCCCATCCACATGCCAGGAGCGGGGTGGATGTCTGCCCAGGATCAAGCCCCACGTCTTCTGTACCTCCTTTGGGACCTGGGAAGGGAAGAGAGAGGAAGGTCAGATCCCCAGGATGGTGAAGGGGCTCAGGCCTGTGGAAGCCAGGTGTGTGTGTGTGTTGGGGGGGTTGCTAAGGGCACTGCGACGCTGGTGGCGGGGAGGGGCGTGGGCTCTAAGAGCTAAAAGTCCCAGCGTCAATAACAATTCCGCTTTGAACCTAGAAAAATGGCACAGATGAACCAGCTTGCAAGGCAGAAACAGAGACACAGACGTACAGAACAAACGTATGGACAACCAAGGCGGGAAAGCGGGGTGTGGGATGAATTGGGAGACTGGGACTGACATATACACACTAATATGTATAAAATAGAGAACTAATGAGAACGTACTGTATAGCACAGGGAACTCCACTCCACTGTACAGTAGAAACTAACACAACATTGTACAACAACTACACACCAATAAAAAAAATAACCCTTCTGCTTTGGATGGCAAAGTACGCTTTACACAAAGTTTTGCCAAGGGGAGATTTTTGCCACTGCAGGTTAAGGATGGGAAAGAGAATCCCCCAGAGGTGAGATAACTTGCCCAATCTCACACTGCTGAACAGTTGAAGAGCTGGGATAAGGAACTAAGAGAGCATTTTCCATGGAGCGCTCATGTCTTGCAGCAAGTTAATAGGGGATTATTGAAACCGAGGAATGAGTGCATAGAAGTTTGTAAAAAGGTGAGAGAAACCAAGAGAAATAGGTTGCTCTCCTCTAGGGATGACCAGAACCTTTAATATACTGATGGCCCCGTGGGGCTCTGGGTTGGGGGAGAGAATACAGCCTTTCCTGGCAGGGCTGTGTCTAACCTTGGAAATGGCTTCAGGTGTGTCTGTTAACCTGGGGGACTCACAGCCTAGGAGGAGGGCAAGGCTCGTGTCTGCTTTTGTTCACGATTGAACCTCTGGAGACTGACTGGGGCCTGGCATGCAGTAGGTGCTCCGTGAATATCACTGACTACGTAAATGAATGGACAAACGGGCATTTCTAGGATTTTGCAAAGCACCGTTTGGGAAATGCTTGTCAGGGGTTTCTCTTGGCCGGAGTCCATGCTCCCATGTGGGGAGGCTTGGGGGCCGTGGGGAAATCTCCGAGTGTGTGGGAACTGGTGTGAGTTTGGACAAGTGACCTCACCTCTCTGGCTCCCAATCTCCTTCCTCTTCATTAAAGGCGTTACTATTCGAAAGGCCTTTGGAACAATGCCTGGCACAGAAGAAGTGCTCCCTAAGTGTTTTAGATTTTAAACATCTGAAAAGAAAAGCCCTGCCTCAAAAGCGCAAAGCACCACTCCAGAAAGAGACAGGGCTGATATGGGCAGTGAGGATTACATTGGGAGATTGGGATTGACATATACACACTACTATATATAAAATAGATAACTAGGACTTCCCTGGTGGCACAGTGGTTAAGAATCCACCTGCCAATGCAGGGGACACGGGTTCGAGCCCTGGTCCAGGAAGATCCCCACATGCCGTGGAGCAAATAAGCCCGTGTGCCACAACTACAGAGCCCACGCTCTAGACCCCGCAAGCCACAACTACTGAGCCTGCGTGCCACAACTACTGAAGCCTGCGCGCCTAGAGCTGGTGCGGCACAACAAGAGAAGCCACCCAATGAGAAGCCCACACACCGCAACGAAGAGTAGCCCCCCACTTGCGGCAACTAGAGAAAGCCACGCGCAGCAACGAAGACCTAACGTAGCCAAAAATACATAAAAAAACAAACAAATAAATTTTTTAAAAATTTAAAAAATAGATAACTAATAAGGACCTACTGTATAGCACAGGGAAAACTACTCAATACTCTGTAATGACCTATACGGGAAAAGAATCTTAAAAAAAAAAAAACGTCGGGCTTCCCTGGTGGCACAGTGGTTGAGAATCTGCCTACCAATGCAGGGGACACGGGTTCGAGCCCTGGTCTGGGAAGATCCCACATGCCGCAGAGCAACTAGCCCCGTGAGCCACAATTACTGAGCCTGCGCGTCTGGAGCCTGTGCTCTGCAACAGAGAAGCCGCGATAGTGAGAGGCCCGCGCACCGC